AACATAGCGAGCAAAGTCAACTTGTCACATATTTATGACGTAAGGGATCTTTTCAAATGCTTTCAATGATGACAGCAAACATACTACATACATATATGCTCATACATATATACGTGTACACATATAAATATTACATAATGTGTGGGGTGCTCAAAAAGATGTTGGTATTTTTTCTTTAACTCATACATACTCGTATGTACAATCATAAATATGTTTATATGATCAAATGGAATGAATTGAATTGGCTGGCTGTCGCCCATTGCTGTCAAGCAGCGATTTCTACTGAGATTTTCATGTTGACGTGGGATGACAGTAAAATTACCAACGCTCGCTCACCGCTATGAGCTTAATAATGTGCACTGTCGTTGTTGTTGTTGTTGTTGTTTTTTGCAACTGAGTGCTGATTTCCTACAGCTCAGCTGGTATTTGCTTTTATTGTAGGTGTTGGTTGGTGTTGTTGTTGCTCTAGTATTTGCTGACAGCATGCAATGCATTGACATAAATGAGAAATGGAAAATGTGGTTTAAACTTCATAATTCGCTCATATTTTTCTTTTTTTATGCGTCGATTTTTATTGCAAAGAAATTTCAGTGCATATATAAATATATGTGTGGATATGGGTGAGGGAAGTAAAAATCTCCCCCTTTATATGCGACCAGGCAAAGCTGAAGGTGTTTCCTCCGACCGATGGAAATTGTTAAAACTTTTAAACTAATTTAAAATGCGGTTTAGCCAGGTAATATGTACGAGTTCTATCAACGCCTCATGGGCACTAGTAATTTTTATTAAATTTATAGGAAAAATATATGGAATTAATAACAATTAAGTATTAAAATGCATAATTTTAAGAATAAGCCTATATACATATTTGAGCAGGGTTGCCATATTATTATTTTTTACTACCAGAAAATCAATAGTAAACTTTTTTTACTCTAAAAATCGGAGTATCAAGTATATATTGAGTGCATAAGTTCGTGCCCGATTCCGCTGGATGCCGTTCGAATAGTTTGAGAGTGGCGCTCGTGAAAGAAATATATACATATTATATATCGTTGGAAAGGTGGCAGTCCAAACTATAAAGCAAACATAAAATAACTTCATTCTGATTTGAGTTGCTTAGTGAAAAGACGCATGGAAGATGGACAACGAAAAAGATCATATGCGTCATATTATGTTATACGAATTCCGCAAAGGAAACACAGTAGGCGCTGCAACTAAAGATATTCGCGAAGTTTATTTGGACCGTGCTCCAGCACTCCGCACAGTAAAGAAATGGTTCGCGAAATTTCGTTCTGGAGATTTTAACCTCGAAGATCAACCTCGCAGTGGACGGCCTTCTGAGCTTGATGACGATGTTCTAAGGACTTTAGTTGCGAATAACTCACGTATTTCGACGGAAGAGGTTGCCAGTGAATTGAACGTCAACAAATCAACTGCGTTTCGTCGTTTAAAAAAGGTTGGGTACACTTTGAAGCTCGATACATGGGTGCCACATCAGTTGAGTGAAAAAAACAAAGTGGACCGTATGTCAACAGCAATTTCTTTGCTTCGACGGATCAAAAACGAACCTTTTTTGGATCGGCTCGTGACTGGTGATGAAAAATGGATCCTGTACAACAATGTTCAACGCAAAAGAACATGGAAACAGGCACACGAAGGGGCGGAACCGATGTCGAAAGGTGGATTGCATCCGATGAAGGTACTGCTGTGCATTTGGTGGGATATCCGAGGCGTGATCTATTTTGAGCTCTTGCCAGCTGGAGAAACGATCACTGCCAACAAGTATTGTCAGCAATTGGTCGAATTGAAGAAAGCAATTGATGAAAAACGTCCGATTTTGGCCAATCGCAAAGGAGTTCTTTTCCATCATGACAACGCCAGGCCACATGTTGCAAAACCGACCCTGGCCAAACTGAAGGAGATGAATTGGGAAATCATGCCGCATCCCCCATATTCACCCGACATTGCACCTTCTGATTATCATTTGTTTCGATCGCTGCAGAACAATTTGAATGGAAAAAAATTTAAAAATGTGGAAGACGTCAAAAACCACCTTGACACCTTTTTTAACGAGAAACCGCGCGATTTCTATGAATCAGACATCCGTAAATTGGTTGAACGTTGGGAGTGGATTGCCGAACATGATGGCGAATATATAATTGATTAATAAAAGCGCTTTCTTCAAAAAATTTCAATTTTAGTTTGCACTTGAAATCGGGCACGAACTTATGCACTCAACCAATAATAATTAACACTATGTAACCGCTGGAGCGATTTTCGGTCGAGCTCCTCCTCAAATTTGCGGTTTTGCGTCTTGATGTTTTTCCAACAAATGGATTGATCTACAGTCATCTACATTTCATGTCAGAAATATACTCGGAGGGGTTGACATTTCCCGCCGAGGGGCGACCGCAATTAGAATATTAAGCTTAATTTTCTATTAGAATTAGTTTTCTTTACTAACTTGCTTTACTGGCATGGACACTGCATACGCGATTATAGCCGATTTAACAAATATGCACCATTCATCTCTTCTTTTCGCTGTTTGGCGCCAATGGGAAATACCGAGTACAGCCAGGTCCTTCTCTACTTGATCTTTCCAACGGAGGAGGGGTTTTCCTGTTTCTCTGCTTCCACCGGCGGGTACTGCATCGAAAAGTTTCAAAGCTGGAGTATTCGCATCCATCCGGACCACGTGACCTAGCCAGCGGAGCCGCTGTCTCTCGATTCGCTGAAGTATATCAATGTCGTCGTATAACTCGTACAGCTCATCGTCCCATTGTCTGCGATATTCGCCGTTGCCAATGCGCAAAGGACCATAAATCTCGTTCGCAAATCTTTCCTTTTGAAGGCTGCTAGAGCCGACTCATCAGGTCTAGTCATCGTCCATGCTTCCGCACCATATAGCAGGACGGGTATGATGAGGAACTTGTAGAGTTTGGTTTTCGTGCGCAGACTTTATTTTGTTTTAATAGCATGCTCAGTCCAAAGTAGCACCTGTTGGCAAGAGTGATTCTGCGCTGGATTTCAAGGCTGACGTTATTATTTAAGTTGATGCTGGTTCCTAGATAGACGAAATCAATTACGACTTCAAAGTTATGACTGTCAAAGGTGAGGTGGGAGCCTAGTCGCGAAGGCAATGACTATTTATTTGATGAAAAAAAGATATTTCGTCTTGTCCTCGTTCACTACCAGACTAATCCGCTTCGCTTCTATATCAACCCTGGAGAAAGCAAAACTAACGGCGCAGTTGTTGAGGCCGATAAGGTCAATATCATCGTCGTAAGCCAAAGTCACCCTGTCTGAAACCTCGTTTGATACCGAACGGCTCGGAGAGGCCCTTCCCAATTCTGACTGCGCTCCTGGTGTTGTCTAGCGTCAGCTTACATAGTTTTTGACGGCGGGATTCAGTCTTTCACACAATACATTCGACCGGACCTTATGGGCGATGCTAAAAAGGCTTATTCCACGGTAATTGGTGCAGACTATGGGGTTCCTTTTTTTATGGATTGCGCAGAGCACACCGACCATACTCTGCAAAGTTGCTAATGCATGTACCTTGTCAGCGTTTCACCGCCATGTTTGAATAGTTCTGCCGATGTCGGCCAGCTTCTCAAGCTCTTCATACTCACGCATCTCGGCCTCTTTCTATTTTTTATCAGATGCATCTTGCTTCCCTCTTCATCTCTCGGTATCTATGCCATCCCGTACGTGTTGTGGTCGATGGCAAGGTTTTCTCTCCATAGCGATTCGACAGTCCTCATCATACCAGCTGTTTTTGGGTCCTTTACGAAATCCAATAAGAGCTTAAAATGCCATCCCATGTGTCTCATATACCGAGTTGCTGATAAGTGCGCTCTCAGAAAGCTGTAGTGCAAGGCGAATAGAAAACCGCTCGGCAATCTGTTGTGATTGCAGCTTTTCAACGTCGTAACTCCCTTGTGCTTGTTGACGGGCGTTCTTCGACACACAGAGGCGCAACAAAATAGTGGTCCGAGTCGTTGTTGGGTCCTAGGAGTGTAGGCGCGTCAAAAACACTGGAGACATGTCTACCGTCTATCATAACCTGATCGATCTAATTTTGTATTTTTTGATCAGCGGACAGCCAAGTAGCTTGATGTATTTTTTGTGCTGGAATCTAGTACTACAGACAACCATATTTCGGGCTCCGGTGAAATCGATCTGCCTCAACCAATTAGGGTATGTTTCGTCGTGGAGGCTGAATTTTCCAACAGTCGCACCAAAGACACCATCTTTGCCAACCCTGGCATTAAAATCGCCAAGAACGATTTTCATATCGTGTCGGGGGCAGCGCTCGTAAGTATACTCTAGGCGCTCATAAAAGGCATCTTTGGTCAAATCGCCCTTTTCTTCTGTCGAGGCGTGGGCGCAAATCAGCGATATGCTGAAAAATTTTGCTAGACAGCGGCACCTTCCCAATTAAGGGACCGAACATTCCAGGTGCATGCCCTCACATCGCGATCCTTAATTCGTTTGAGGGGTCGTCAACAAAAAGAGGGTATCTCATCCGAGGCGCTGTTAAGTTTTTCATTGGAGCTGGTTTCTACGTGACGGGTCCCAAACCAAGCACACAACCTCGCTAGGCGAGTAAGTTTATAGTTTTTTACACAATTATATAGAGAGTCGCTTGCTTCAAGACCGACGTCCGCACGTAGCCGCACCTCTGGTGAGCAGATGCTGCAATTAGACTTCTGCAGAGCCTTAAATCGAATAAGTCGGAGTGGCTCCACTGAAGCTTCCCCTCTTATTAGCCGTAACCCAAGGCTCCACTCGGGTTTGTTACCGCATCTTGCACAAGGGTCACTCACGTTTCCAGGGTGCGCGACGTGAACGCAAGAGTAGGAATTTAGTATATCCTCGCAATAAAAGTAAACAAATTTATATTTGATGTTGTACAAAGTATGTGTGAACACATATGTATTTATTAGCTATGAGAGAATAATTAAAAATTTTCGAATTCTTTTTTAAAATTTTGTCCAACATTTTTTTCAAAAAATTCTACAGTTTTGAATTTATTGACCACATTTGCTCACCACACATTGCCTTAAGTACTAGCAGCGCGCTACACGCCCACTCAGTCATGTAGCTCTGCCAAATGCCCCAATAACTGTATACCCCTTCGGTTGTGTACGATGAACAAGAATGGATGATCGACACTGAACAGCAAAGGTTTTGAGCGTAACGACGAAAAGGCGTTCCAGAACAGCACCACTACAAATGAAAATCGATATACACACATATGGATTAATTAAAAGGGTGTACATATATATATATGTGTGTGTGTGTATGTGTGTACGGGTGTGTGACAAAATGGTAGGCATTCAATCAATGTTTCAGGTAATTAAATTGAAATTCATTGCGCTTACTCGATGTCTCCAAATCACCAATACCATCTTCGCTAACGGCAAAATGCGTCTCTTGTGTTACCTGCCAAGCGCTGGGCCAATGCAGATCAACATTCGCTGTAGCGTTTAGTAACTGAAATTAATCGGAGCTTTCAGAAATTGTTTGTACACATATATGTGTGTATGTATGTATGACAAGACAACATCTTATAGATTGTTATTGTTGTACATACTAACCTGCTTAAAAACACCATCCAAGTTGGTACGTTGTGTAAATTGAAACTGTGGCAGGGAAACGCGCACCAAAGTCGAGTCCAAATGTCGACGCTGCTGGCTGACTCCACTCCCCGCCGCCGCCACCGTCGGCTGCTCCACCATATCGCTCTCCATGCCACACAATTCATCCAGCAGCGTCACATTGGCACTTAGACGCCGTAGGAGTTGCGGCAGACCGTCCCTGGCATGTGGCAAAATGATGAGAATTTTCAATTCCTGCCGCTGCAATGACAACTCCAAGGCGCTGGCTTTCAGCTCGGTCAGGTTGGCGTAGGGGAAAATGTCGTCTTTGCGCATGGCGTTCAGGTAGGCGTGTGTGTGCGTTTGTGGCATGTAAAATTGGCGTTTGTGCGTATCACGCTTTTGGAAATTGTGCGCCCAGCGTGAGTTTATACGCACCGCATTGATTAGTTCGTTGCGTTTGTTGTTGCGGTTGTTTATTTTGTTGTTTGCGTTGTTTTTGCTACTTTTGTTGTTATGCACCTTGCTGGCTACACCCAGCGCAGCATCATTATTATCGATATTCTTGTCATACTCATTGCTTTTACTACTCTCGGCGCTTTTGTTAGTCTTCGTCTCGCCATCATTCTCTCCATCCGCTGTGTTCTCCGCGCTCTCCTCGGCAAGCAGCACAAATTGTAGATTTTTCAATTTCCGTGTAAACCTTTGTGTGTTGTAGACATCGGCGTACAGCGTGTTGCTGACCACAATCGTGCTACGGGTAGTGGGGAAGAACTCATCGAACTCCTCTGTGCTGCTGTCATTGGAGACGCTGACGCTGGTGCTGGCACTGACTTCATTGCTTGCCCGTCCATCCTGCTGTTCGGCAGCATCGGCGGCTGTGTGCATGGCGGCGATTTCTTTGTCAGTGCCATGCAGCTGCAGGTACAATTCGAGTATTTCCTGTGGTGCTATGACAAAGTTGTGTGCTGCATCCGCCTCGGACAGCATGTGTGCCAGTATTAAATGCATCAAATCAGTCGCGTTCGCATTGCTGGCTGCCGGAGTTGTTGCTCCTTTGCTGCTTCCCAAGGCGAAGACGGGATTTGAACCTGGCAGCAGGCACAGTGGAATGTCTGTTCATAGAGATTTTGTAAATTTCTGTACTTAGAATTTAAAATCCTAACACTTACATATTAAACAAATTTTACTTAACATATTTTGTTGTTTTTTTTCGTTGTTTTTGCCTAAAAATCAAACATTTCTACAAGCGAAACATGCTCTTGAGCTGTGCATTTTTTATTCACTACTGAAAGTAAAATTTCATTAATCAGCGTAAATTTAAAAGCAAGCCATATTTTTGAAAGAGAGAGAGAGAGAGAGAGAGCGCGTTGGTGAAAACATTAGGGTCGGTAATTTTTTGTTACATGACAAATTTAAAAAAAGAAATGTTGCATGAAAAGTATCTCACAATATTTTTTTATAAATCATCACTTCGATGAGAGTAGAAGCTTTTCCAGAAATCGTCTTATCACCTTGAGAAATTCAAAAATATTGCATAGCCTAATGGTAGTTCTCTGCTAGCTGGTACATCAATTGCGAACGCTTATCACATTTCAAATTCTTATCAGTTTTAATTTTTTCGGCAACAAAATTAACTCTTAGCATTGAAATTTTAAAATTTATTATTCTTTCGTAGTGATCAGACATGATTTTGGCTGGTATTGTAAGATTTTTGAATTGAGCTTAAAGCTCAACTTATTTATTTGAGAGTCACTTGAAAAATATTAAATATTTTCCTGAACAACCCTGAAATGCCCGTGCCGCCTGGTAAAAAATGTTTGTGTGAGGTTCATGAAACTAAAATTATGCCTTGTATAATTACTTTATTGTGAATCGCGCCATCTAGATATTTCGAATGCAAGGGAAAACATTCGATTCTGGCGCCACCTATAGAGAGCTTTTATTATTTTTTTTAATACATTTAAAATTTTATATAAATCTACGCCTAGTTTCGGTGTGACATGCTTATAAAAGAGACCGATAGAGAGAATTACTATGGAGGGGTTCCGGAGCTAGTTTTCCTTTAAGCGTTCAGCTATCTGTGTGGATCGCAAGACTGCAGAGTTCTGTTACATAATTTCTGAAAAAATAATTCTTTGTAATATTTTTGTTATACCGAAGTTTGAAGATTTTTAGTGCTTTACGGGACGGGGGCGATTGTCACCCTTGCCTACTACAGTGGCAGAATACCACTCTCACCAGGAAAAATCTAACTTATTCGTAAAGGTGTTTCCAATGTACCTCGGCGGTTGTCCTTTTACACGCATTTGTATAAATACATACCATTTGGGGATTTATGAGTAACGGGTTTCGTTGCAGCGGCCCACTTCGCTCTGTTGCCTCCCTCACATGGGGAGGTGTACCCTCGGGGTAGCCCCTTGGGGGTTGTGCATGCTTGTTTCGAGGCGGCATCTATTCATCTCGTCACCTGAGAATTATAGAGTCTCCTCGGGCCTTTTAAGTCGAACCCTCTTCCCCTGGAAGCCTCGTGGTTGTTGTAATTGCAGAGGATTGATCTAAAGCTAACCCCACTACATTTCTTCTTCCTTAGAACTTTCTTATAGAGTCTTTATTCATCTTTGCGAAAATTTCAATAGTAGTCGTGAGCCATTGCACGGACTTTCTTGAAGAGTTTTCTGTATGCGTATAGAGTTTAAATCCTTGGATCATAAATTTGGGGTTCCGCTTTCTTCTGGGTTAGGGTATAGTGAAACTCTCGCTTAGTATTTCTGAATAGACAGAAGTAAATTAGTGCAGTCATGATTAATACCTGGAGGGGCTTAAAAATTGTTATATGTACACTCTGCAGACATTCGGCAGGAGATGTCAATCGATAGTCAGGCTGCAATCAGATCTCTTCAATGTACGGGTACCACGTCAAAAGTGGCCATAAACTGTAAAAGCACTCTCAACAAACTCTCAACGAAGTATAGTACAGCCGCGGTCTGGGTACCTGGACACAGGGATATCCCTGGCAATTGCATCGCAGAGGATCTCGCAAGAGGAATAACCCTTCTATCTACGATAAAACACTTACATGATGCGGGTTTACCTAAGTCCACGGCCAAGTACATGCTTAAACTGACCTTCACCAGGGAAGCTGACTAACGATGGTTAAATAAGATCTCGTGTAACGTGACGAGACAGCTATAACCGAAGATGGACGCCAACAAATCTAAAACTCCTATCCTTCTAGACCGGTTCTCCATTAACTCAGCGACGGGTATAGTAACTAGACACTGTTAAATGGGACTTCACGGGACTGCGATGGATTGTAGGGACGAAGAAGAGGAGGACACAAGTTTCTTGGGACATACTTCTTCGACTACCCCGCTGAGTTGGCTTCAGTCAACATTGGAAATCTTGACGCCTTCTTTATAAGGCACACAAAATAGCAGGAACCTCAGCGATATCACAATGGGCCTATTTACCTAAGTGTGCTGGGGTTTGACCAGCAGCCGGATCAACTCAACTCATGTCAGTGTGTTTATAATAGAAAGCTTTTCATAAAAATCTGATGGAATTAATTGTAGGTCCCTCTATTTGTTTAGAAAATACCAAGACGTTCATCACAAAGATTAGGAGGAGTTCGGACTCTTGTCAGCGGTTTGAGTAAGAGGACTTTGGCAGGAATTTTTTTAAACCTATCTAGTTTTCGGGTAGTATTCCTAGCTTTTGAGGTTTCTGTGATGAAAAAAATTCCCAGAAGATCATTTTCCCTGATTGCGATATATTTTATATAATATATGCATGTATACAAAAAGCTCTGTGCTGAATTACTGACGGGTCAACTCACAGTTCAAACCAGACTTAAACAGTGCAGGGCGTTTTCTACGCATAATGTAGACATCCGAAAAGAAAGAATTTACTGCGTAGTAAAATGATCTATTATCAAAAATTTCCAGAGGCAGCCCTTTACCTGGTTTAACATGGGCAATATCTTTTCTTTCGGGAAGTGGACCTGAACCGATCTCCTCGCAACAATTTGTTAACCAATACGAAATTCCATGTGAACGAATGCGTTGGCTAAATCTAGCCTTACTTCAGTAGCAGCAATGGAAAAGTTCCATTTTAATTTTCCAATATCCCAAAACATTCAAACATTTCGTAATCGTCATATCATCAGTCGCTTTGCGTAAATACCGAAGTTTATGTGAACTCTTTTGAACGTGAGTATGAATACCAGTGCTAGCGCAAATATCAAAGCTAGTCTCCATCGAATGAAGAAAACAAGGAATACAAGTAGAATCTGAAAAAGAACATGACAGTTACAAGTGTGTAACCCGAACAAATTGTTTTCAATTTTTGAAAATCTTTGCAACGAAGTGCGACAGTCAGCTTAACAAGCGCACTTAACTGGCGGAGGAATGATGTGAAGAGGGGCTTATACAAAGTGGATGGGCTGGTGTATATGTTCATATAAAAAGGATGATGCTTTAAGAGCTGTAGGAAAGTTTTCAAAAAAAAAAAAAAAAATAAAAAAAATAAAAAAATAAAAAAAGGTCTTTACATGCATCGATAGATCGGTTCATATAATTTAATGCTTGAAGATTATTTCATGCAAATGTCGACCGTGACTGCGGCTCAAATGGTCCATTCGCTTAGACCATTTCTGGCATACTCTTTACAACATTTCGGCCGGTATTTCACGAATAAATGCTTCGATGTTCTCCTGCAATCCGTCAATTGAAACGGGCTTGTCTGTATAGACCTTAGATTTAACATAGCTCGACAAAAAATAGTCTAAAGGCGTTAAATTGTACGATCTAGGTGACAATTCCCCGGTACAGAACGTGAAATAAAATGTTCACCGAATTCGCCTCTCAACAAGTCCATTGTTACGCGTGTTGTGTGGCATATGTTGAAACCACAGGTCATACAAGTCAAGCTCTTGCATTTTGGGCAAAAAAAAGTTTTATGTCATCCCACGGTAGCGCTCACCATTCACAGTTACATTACGATTCGCATCAACTTTGAAGAAGTACGGTCCAATGATGCCACCAGTCCATAAACCGCACCAAACTGTACCTTTTTCTGCTTTTTCTGGTTGCATTGGTAGCTCTTGCAATGCTTCTTGCAGATCTTCACTCCAAAATGAGCTACGAAGCGCTCGTGGAAGAAGCGCGCGATGAACTTTCTTAACATCGCACGCATTTTGAAAATAAAATTCAACAATCTTCAAGCGTTGTTTGTTTTTAAGATGATTCATGGTTAAATTATAGACCAAACTGAAGATGTTTGACAGTGATACAAAACACGAACCGACGCCAGCTGCTTAAACTAGTGTTGCCAGAAAGATGACTGCTAAAAAATCACCCTTTTTTTACATAAGGAAGTAGTGTGTATTACTGCAACGTGCGAGGGATATGCATACCGTCATTTATGCATAAATACCTACACGCAGATATGAATGTATGTGAATATGCTCCCACGTGGACAAGATGAAAATCCTTGAATGTGAAAATGTTTTTACGAGAATCTACAAACAAACTACATACGTCTGATTTTATTTTTAGCGTACGCTACTATAAGACTTGCATATGTGCATGTATATGTATTCATGTCCAAAAGAACCCAATAAGGTAGGAATTCATGGTACTGTATGAGAGGAGTGGTGGTCTAAACTGGACTAAATTTTCCCAGAGCCCACGCTCGGAATTATATGCTATTTAATTTCTATCAAAGTGAAATTTCTACACGAAAGCCAAATTCAATGGCTGCACCAGTATGCCAGAAATATATTGTCTAGTGAGTTTATCTAGAGAGGGGATGAATATTGCATAATTCTTACTAAACCTCGGCAAGTGAGAATAAGTTAGTGGTCAAGTTGAGCTTTCGTTAGACCGCGTTGATATTTTAAAAACGAATTTTTGAAAACGAGATTGTCGGCAACTAGTTCGCAACTGATGACATAGTAATTACTATTTTTAATATCTTTCTCGTTGATTGTTGCTGTGCTCCGTAATCAGTTACATGAAACTTCTGCTAAACCTTGTAAAAATGAACTTTGCAAAAGCTTGGTTAAAAGTTTAAATCTGCATCACGCCAGTTCTCGAAAAGAGGAAAAAGAGGTCCCATCGCACTAGTTCCCAACAGTGACTTTTGGATGCATGTTTCTTTGCAACAACTTTTAATTGCAGTTTGTTTCTCACAAGCCAAATTAAAAAAAAAACAGTATCTAATTGAACTAGTGACCTACTAGTGACTTTCGGCAGGGTTCATATGTAGGA